CACTTCTTAACAGTATGTATTCAACCTGAACTTGTATACTGGTGATGACACGGCAATTACTTTATTTTTGTTCCAGTGACCAGAAAAGATGGCTTAAAAAATGTGATATCATTACGTGCACAGGTATGCATCTTTTGCTTATGTTGGTATGCCCTTTTCTAAATAGATTTTCTTAATTGTGGTAACGAAACAGTGTGCTATTCTATGTTTAGGATTCTTGTTTCCTTAAGATATGTTGCCACTTTTTATGCCTTAGTATTCTTCTCTATGTAGTGCAGATTGTCTGTTAAGTAAAACCAGCGGTTCAGAACAAAATGAGAACATCAACATTTAAATAAACAATACTATCTCTTTTTAGTTTCACACGACCCCTGAAATGATGTCCGGTCATTATATATATATAAAGTTCACTGTACTTTCCTTTTTCCATGTCACAAATTTCATATGTAATTTTTGCCTGTCCCAGTTTCATATCAGATTAGGAGACATATTTGCCTCGAGAAGCTGCACTTGTTAAATACTTAAGTGCATCTCATTCATATTATAATCTGCTGGTGTTGTGGTGTCATTCCTCACTTCTGTGATGTGTGAATGTCTGTCAAAATCAAAGTCGAGTGGCGGTGGTACTTCTATCTGTTGTCCTTATTACAACGATATATTTTCATTTGCATACTTGTGTGACTTGTGTTTCCATCACCTTCATATTATTTTCATTGGTCGGACCTTGTGAACCCTGTTTTCATGTATCTCACAACTAGTTTGATGACTTGTAGAGAGTGACGCAATGCTGGAGGTAGCCACAATCGTGGGAGCAATATCTATGGTGATGAGCATAATATGAGTGACTCCACTGAGTGAAGGTCTCAAGCTAAGATGTTGATGGTGTTCAATGTTTTTGGACCATTAATCTTTAGAAATTTTTTAAAAACATTCTGTTATAGTTACTGTTTCGTTTTTTAAGGATCATTGAAGTTGAAGTTGAAATGTGATTCAGACGCAACTCTTGTTGTGCTTGTGATATATTATGAGATTGTGCAAAATATAATTCATCTTTTGTCATTTGGGTGGAATGCAAGCAATTCTGAAGTAATCTTGTGATTGTGAGATTTGCAACTTGTGGAATAAGTTTTGAATGCAAGTTTTATAATATGGACTTGTAAGTCCAGCATGACTAAATTAGAAAACCTTTGATGATTGTCAAACTATCAGTAATTATACTAATTGATAGTCTTGGTTGATCACACGGCTATAACGATGTTCGACGGTGTCTGCACACGGTAACCCATTATTAATTCCGATGGGGATAGGCACCCTCTCAACTATAACTATATCTGATGGGGCAGATGGACCGTCAGGCATTGTTAAAGCCGTCGGGAGAGAAAAGCTGTCGGGAAATGCATAGACGACGGTGAACGGTCGGCTATAAGTATCGTCGAGTAATGGTGAGGCGGCCCTTAACCAAGACATGGCCGACAGATCACCGTCGGCTTAGCACCCTCGGCAAAATTGATAACCGAGAGTACCGTCGGCTATGGTAGTAATGGCCGACCAAGCATCACCGACGGGAGATTGCCGACGGTCTACCGTCGGTTATAGTCTTAGTCGAGGGTGAACTTCAATATCCGACGGGGATTCGACCCTCGACTATATTGGGATATCTAGTAGTGCAATAGCAAATTGGGCTTGCAAAATCCCAAAAGCTCTCTCCACATCTTTTCTAGCCGCCGCGTGAGCATTTTGGAAATCAAGATATTTCTTACCTTCCGGTTTTTTCAACGGCTTCACAAATGTTTGCCACTTTGGGTAGATGCCATTCGCAAGATAGTAGCCATAGTTGTATGTACGACCATTAGCTACAAACTGCACCGGTGGCAGTTCACCATTTGCGATCTTACTCATCAGTGGTGACCGGTTGACAACGTTGATGTCATTCAAAGATCCAGGCATTCCAAATAAAGCATGCCAAATCCAAGTCTCTTGATCGGCCACCGCTTTAAGGATTATAGTGGAACCCTTTTTTTTGTCCGTGGAATTGTCCATGCCATGCCTTTGCACAATTTTTCCAACTCCAATGCATGCAATCTATTAAGCCAAGCATACCTGGGAACCCGCGAGCTTTGTTCATCTCCAATAGCCTTGCGACATCTTCAGCATTGAGAGTTCTCAAGTACTCCGGGCCAAACACTTGCACAATTCCGACTGCGAAGCGCTTGACACACATGATGGCTTGGCTCTCACCCATGGCCAAGTGGTCATCAGCTAGATCAGCCTGCCGCGCGCGACGGGCGGTGCTGACTAGAGAGAGAGGGAGGAAGACGCGGCCGCGCGGGAAGAGACTGGGGAAGTGCCGGAACGGTCGCCGGAATAATAGGGTGGCGGCGGCGTGGCTGGATGGGTAGGTGGAGTTGCGAGCGAGCGCTCGAGAGTCCAGCGCGCGGGAGTGGGCGTAGCAAATAAGCGGTGCGCCATGGCGTTTCCGCCCGCGCGCTAAATTACATATGCCGCGGGCGCGGTTTTTGCACATCCGCTGGAGCGCCGGGAATGGTAGCGCGTGCGCTAAAACAACTACTTTTTTCGCGCGGCGCGTTTATAACGCGCCTGTTGGAGATGCTCTAAGCTGAACTGAGGGTGTATGAGCACTTTCAGTATAAAACTGGATATAGGCAATGCAGCACAAACTACTTGAATTGTATGAGCACTAGCAAATCCAAAATGGTTGACTAGTTGTTTGTGACTCAAATGCACCATGCAAATTTCTTGTAACAGCAGGGACATAAGTACTCCACCACTGGACACAAGTGTAACTGGAACTTGCTGAATAGGAGGTGTTATAGCAGTTCAGTAGTTGTTGGAGGTGGGATAGCTTCAAGCTTGGCTGTGGATATATTCTGCAGAAAAATCAGCTTCAGATTCTTCTGGATATCATTATTCATGTCCACCAGATTCTTTTCTGCCTTGGCCACGGTCACCATCCCAGAACGTAAATGTTCTTCTGTCTTTAATGCCTTGAGCTCAGATAGTCAGATAGGTCGGCCCGTAGAACTGACAGCGATTTTACAGCAATGCCAACCCACAGTACTTACACGAAGTCAACGCTGCAGTGGCATAGTGATCAAATTCAGTAGCAGGATTTTCAAGGAATCTCCACAGACTTGTAGATGTGTGCCTGAATGAAAAATTTCCGCCGCCGCACCCCACCATTGCTGCCGCGGACAAGGAGAGATGGGAGAGATTTTACCAGAGAATCCAAGCTCACTTTCGTCGACCAATTTCAGGAATCTTTCCGTGCTGCATTAGTTGACACTTGACAGTGCATCGTCAGAGTTTTTCAGTACATGGGGATGTTTGGGTAGATGCACGCGTCGCCGTTATTTGTGCATCTCCATATATCCCTCATGTTTGGGGACAGGGGACACTTTCTTTATTGACGTGGAGCCTTTCCTCAAAACAAAAACAAAAAACATGATGTCAAGTTATTTCTCTACGCACAGCTAAAAGACCATAGACCAGGCATAGCACGAGGAATATGTATGGCAACAGACCAGAAAAATGAGTTTGAGAACCACGTTCCATAAAAATCCCTCCTCTGTTTTCCTCCCGTCGTACCCATCTGACCTGCAATCCATGGAGCAAACTGCTGTCGTGGTCGCCGGGGAAGCTCCAGCATCAAGCACGGACTGCGACTGGACCGAGCTTCCTTCGGACCTGCTGGTTCGTATCTTCGGCAACCTGCAGATACCGGATCTCTTCAGCTCCGGTGGCGTCTGCTGTTCATGGCGCCGCAGCCACTTGGAAGCCCGCCGGTTCTGGCTGTGCTCGCCGCACCAGAGCCCCTGCCTGCTCTACTCTGCGGCAGACCGTGACAACGGACAAGCTCTGCCACGTCACCGTCCCAGGCCCCACCTTTCGCTCCCGCTACGTCATGGGCTCCTCCCATGGCTGGCTCATCACTGCGGATGACCGCTCTCATCTCATCCTTGTCAACCCCATAACCGGCCTGTTGGGGTCGAAAGATAATGAGCGATCCCTTACTCCTTCGATGAGGAGCGGGTCGTGTATATATTGAGATCGGGGCAAGCCTGCCTTGGTATACAAGGAAAGAATTACAAGAGTTGGAGGAGGATACGAGAGAGGGAGAAGTAGGTTGAGATTACACGTTTTCTCTAATACCCTCCCTTAATCTCAACTATCCTAAATTAAAATTATTCTTGGACTCTTCAAACGGTCTTGCTGAAAGTGCCTTTGTGAAGCCATCTGCTACTTGGTCCTTGGAGGGAATAAACCGTATCTCAAGTTTCTTTGCTGCAACTCTTTCTCGCACAAAGTGGAAGTCAATCTCTATGTGTTTTGTTCTTGCATGAAACACTGGATTCGCAGACAAATACGTTGCTCCCAAATTGTCACACCATAAGCACAAGATACGATTTTTCTTCACCCCCAACTCATCAAGAAGTGACTCAACCCAAATAATTTCAGCGGTTGCATTTGCCAAGGACTTATATTCTGCTTCTGTGCTTGACCGTGACACAGTGGCTTGCTTTCTAGCACTTCAGGAAATAAGGTTAGATCCAAAGAATACTGCAAAACCTCCAGTTGATCTTCTATCATCACTGCATCCTGCCCAGTCAGCATCAGAGAATGCACTAACAAGAGAGGAATTAGACCGTTTGAAATGAAGTCCTATTCCCATAGTATGCTTCACATATCTCACAATTCTCTTAACTGCTGCCCAATATGTAGAGGTAGGTGCATGTAGGTATTGACAGACCTTATTAACAGCAAACGAAATGTCTGGACGTGTGAGAGTTAGATATTGCAATGCTCCCACAGTACTTCTATACCTTGTGCTCTCCTCCTCTCGAAGTGGCTCACCTTCATATGTAGAGAGCTTTTCTGAGGAAGATAAAGGTGTGGGCACTGGCTTACAATTCTTCATTCCCATACGAGACAGAAGCTCGTTTACATATTTTTCCTGACTTAACACAATGCCATCTTGAGTTTTCTTGACTTCAATGCCTAGGAAAAAGTGCAAGTCACCAAGATCCTTCAAGGCGAACTCTGAGCTCAAATCATGTAACAGAGCATTAGTAGCATTTTGTGAAGAACTTGCAACTATGATATCATCCACATATATGAGTACAAAAATGACTACTCCTGTCTTGTTATAAATGAACAAGGACGTATCAGCCTTGGAAGCAATAAAGCCAAGATATTTCAATTGTAAGCTCAGTCTGGAATACCATGCTCTGGGTGCTTGCTTTAAGCCATAGAGTGCCTTATCAAGATTGCAAACATAATGTGGTAATTTCTTACTCTCATACCCAGGTGGCTGTCTCATAAACACTTCCTCTTCTAGAACACCATGCAGAAACGCGTTCTGTACATCTAGCTGCCTTAGGCTCCATCCTCTGGACACAGCAATAGCTAACACAAGTCTGATAGTTGCAGCTTTCACAACAGGACTAAATGTGTCCTCATAGTCAATGCCATAACGTTGCTTAAAGCCTTTTGCAACTAGACGTGCCTTATACCTGTCAATGGAGCCATCTGCCCTTTTTTTAATTCTATATATCCATTTGCAGTCAATGATATTTTTACCTCTCTGGTTTGGTACAAGATGCTAGGTTTTGTTCCTCATGAGTGCAGAATATTCCTCATCCATCGCCTTTTTCCACTTAGGATCATCAAGTGCACTATTCAACGTTATTGGTTCTCCTGAAATACACAGCATCCCATATGGTATAGTTCCATCTTTTCTTATTTTAGGGTTCCGTATACCTTTTTGTAGCCGAGTCATAACTCGTGAAGAAATTTCTGGCTGAACCACTGGAATGCTTGCCACAGAGGATCCGGGCGAATCTGCATGCGCTGACACAGCAGCCGAATCTGCCGCCATGTGCGCAGGAGATCCTGCAGCCATCGGTGTGGCCGCTGAGCCTGCAGACACACGGGTGTCACCCGTTCGACCTGGCGCAGGGGATCCGCTGACTGACCGCACCTGGGCGCGCGCGCGTGACGAGAGGGATCCGGTCCCGCTGTTGGTCCCGCCTGTGGGCGACGTGGCCGCGCGGGAGTGGCCCTCCCTGGAATCTGGAGTGGAGCCGGCTGGAGCGTGATCTGATGACGATCCGCCCGCGTGATCCGAGGACTGCGCCCGCACAGGAGTTCCAGGCGCCGCCGGATCTCCTTCGTTATCCGTGCCAGGTTCGTCCTCTTCCTCAGCATGCAATATTGGGTCAAATTGAGCCATATCTTCAAAATTTTGATCATTTTGAATGCCGTTTTCTCCAGAAATCTGCACAGGCATAAGAGAAGAACCAGTACCAGCAAAAACATCATCACATTGATTAGTACAATTGTTGTCGCCCCCATGATCAAAAGACCGAAGATGTGGAGGAAGAAGGAGAATTTCCTTGTAGAGAAGTGCACCGGCATTTGGATGAAGGGATGCAAAGGGAAACACATACTCATCAAAGACAACATCTCTGGATATGTAGACCCAACCAGTAGGAACATCAAGGCATTTGACCCCTTTGTGCATGGGGCTATAACCTAAGAAGACACATCTTTTTGAGCGGAAAGCGAGTTTACGTGTGTTGTAGGGTCGAAGATTGGGCCAACATGCACAACCAAAGATGCGAAGAGATGTGTAGTTAGGTGTGACACCTAGGAGCCGTGTAATGGGTGTTTCAAATTTGATGACTTTGCTTGTAAGCAAGTTGATAAGATATGTGGCAGTTAGAAAAGCTTCATCCCAAAATTTAAGTGGCATGGATGCATTTGCTAATAATGCAAGCCCCATATCAACTATGTGACGGTGCTTCCTTTCGGCAGACCCGTTTTGTTGGTGAGCATGAGGACAAGAGACATGATGGGATATGCCAAGTTTTTGGAAGAAAGAGTTCAATTTTTCATACTCACCACCCCAGTCACTTTGCATAGCAATGATCTTGGAGTTCAGTTTGCGTTCAACAAGATTTTGGAAATTGATAAAAACTTGGAATACATCAGATCTTTTCTTCAGTAAATAGATCCAAGTAAATTTACTATAGTCATCAATAAACTTACATAATAGGAAAATCTACCAACTGAAGTAGGAGCTGGCCCCACACATCTGAAAAGATAAGTTGTAGTGGGGCAGTAGACACACTAGTAGAAATAGGGTAAGGTAATTGATGACTTTTTGCTTGTTGACACGGATCACAAACTGACTCAACACTAGGCTCATAAGCGAGTTTATTTTTGCTAAGAACATATTTAACTATGACTGAAGATGGATGACCCAAGCCACTATGCCATCTTGATGATGAAAGCTTGGTGATAATATTTGCTTGTTTATTGGACCACGAAGATGATGATGATGATATGAGTGGGTAGAGGCCTCCCACGCACCGTCCTCTAAGAATGATTCTCCTTGTTCTCAAGTCCTTAACCAAGAAAAAATAAGGATAGAACTCTATAAGAACATTGTTATCAAGGGTGAATCGATGAACGGAAATACGATTTTTTGATGTTTGAGGAACGTGCAAGACATTTGTCAGATGTAAATTTTTCACAGGGTTTTCAACAATTGAACTACCAATGTGTGTGATATCCATACCAGAACCGCTTGCCGTGCGAATTTGGTCGCCTCCATTATACTTCTCCCGCATCGTCAACTTTTCAAGTTCACCTATAATGTGGTTTGTTGCTGCACTGTCGGCATACCAATTTGTGTCTACGCCATATGAGGCGGCATGTACCTCCTTTTCTTCTGGCTCGTTCTCCTCATAGCGCCACCAGCAAACCCGTGCACCTCCTGGATGATGCTTGAAGCATATTTGGCACTCAGGATAGTCATGTTGCTGCTCACGCACCTGGTGCTGCTGTTGCTGCTGTCGAGGACGCCCTCTGAAGCCGTTGCCACCGTTGGAGGAAGAGGGTTGGCGGTCACCGCGGTCACCACGGCCACGCCCCCGTCCTCCTCGCCCACGGGATCTGCCGCGGGACTGTCCGCGGCCTCTGTAGACCGCGTTGGCAGATGAGTGAAATCCGCCTGAAGAAGAATCTCCTAGCATCTCCATCCTTTGATCAAAGGCAGAGATTTGGGCGAAGAGATCATCGGCGGTGATGGTGTTCTTGACAGCGCCGATCGCCGCCACAATAGAGTCGTAGTCGCGGTCCAGTCCAGCCAAGATGTAGTCCACCATCTCCGGATCAGAGACGGGACGACCGGCAGCAGCTAGTTCATCCCCGAGGCTTTTCATCTTCGCCATGTACGCCGAGCTTGACATGCTACCCTTCTTGGTGTTGGTGATGGCGATTCTCAGATTGGTAATCCGAGATTGTGACTGTGAGGCGAAGAGGTTTGTCACCGTCGTCCAAAGCTCGAAGGTGGAGTCCTTCCCGACGACCTGCGCAAGAATTTCTGGCGACATGGAATTGAGGAGATAGGACAGGACCTGCTGGTCTTTGGCGATCCAGGGCCCGTACAGCGGATTCGGCTCTAGGGCCGTGGTCTTGTCAGCCTTTGTGACCTCCACCATCCTGGGCGGAGCGGCATCTGTGTTGTCGAGGAGTCCAGTCACCTGGGCTCCTCGCAGGGCTGGTAGTACCTGAGTCTTCCAGAGGATAAAGTTTCCTCGTGCGAGCTTCTCAGATGGCGGCGAACCGAGGTTGAGGGCGACGCCGGCAGAGGAAGCCATGGAGACTATAGTATGCGGTTTCTGGGTTTTGATTTGTGGGGTATGTGGTTTTCTAGGGTTTGTGGCTAGATGTATGAGAAGAGGCGGCTCTGATGACCATGAAAGATAATGAGCGATCCCTTACTCCTTCGATGAGGAGCGGGTCGTGTATATATTGAGATCGGGGCAAGCCTGCCTTGGCACACAAGGAAAGAATTACAAGAGTTGGAGGAGGATACGAGAGAGGGAGAAGTAGGTTGAGATTACACGTTTTCTCTAACAGATCAGGTCGTACCCATCTGACCAGAAAAATGAGTGTCGATCAGGTCGCCATGCCGCCACCGAAAACCATGCCCAATGTCGAGCTCCGTTATGAAGAGGATGACCCCAAATTGGATGGCTACAATCTTATTTATGTGGACACAGTGCCGCATGAATTCCACCGGAAAATAAAGCCATATGGACTTTCACTCGAACAGGGTCGCTTTTGCTTCTACATGATTGTAGCCATGTCGTGCGAGCCGTCCAGTAAAAATTGCGTCGTGGTACGTGTACACAAGCCTCAAAACCTGCTCTCCTATGCTAGGGTTGGGGACACCAAGTGGAGTTGGGTTGACACACACGAAGAATGCAAGAGCTACGTTGATGTTTTTTACAATAACGACGATGGTTTGCTCTATGCTCTTCGAGGTTGTGGTGATGTGCATACCATTGATCTCTGTGGAAAATCTCCACTGGTGAATATTGTCTACAAGCACAAGGCGGATTATGATACCGACAGTAAGTATATTGTACAAGCGTCATGGGGTGATTTATTTCCGATATGGAGATGGGATCGATATCTTGAGGATGACGAGGAGGTGGTGGAGGACAACGACGATAATGATGTGGATGAGGGTGTGGAAGAGTTAGTGGAAAGGGAGGAGGATGAGGATCAGGAGGAGGAGGTGGCGCAGAATGCTGACGTGTTAGTGGAGGTGGACAATGCAGATGTTCTTGTGGAGCAGCGGACCATGGAGGACGACGACGAGAAAGAGCGTGTGACGGCCCGCTTTGTTGTCTACAAAATCGACTTTGTCAAACAAAAGCTCACCAAAGTACATAATCTCAAAGATCACACACTGTTCACGGGTTTCAACACTTCATTTTTAGTTCCGGCAAAGGACTTCCCCACATTAATACCCAATAGTATCTACCATACAGATGACTTGAATCATAATACTTTCTCCAAGAGATTTTCAGATAGACGGGCTTTGATTGACAAGGGCCTTCGGCAGGTTTTCATCTTCAATATGGAAGATTGTAGTTTCACGAATATACTGGCTCCCCATTCTTCAAGATTGAATTGGCCCCCACCGGTTTGGATCCTGCCATAATTTTCTTGCGTTTAGAAATTTATGTACCTAAGGCAAGGACGTTGTAAAGTTTGGTGTTTCATTAATTAGGAATATTCTAAAGCTATTCAATCAGACCTTGATGAAATGTAGATTTCCCCTCCCTGTTCATACCTACCTGCAGTTTCATCACATAGTTAGAATTACTTAATATTGTGCAGTATGGTTATAGTTATTTATGTTATCTCTATTATTATGAACAATATTTGTGATACATAACCTTTGATCCAGTACGTTAGGAATTAACGCTCGACAAATGTTTTGTATTCTAATTTTTAAGCGGATGCACTTCACCCATAAATGTTCAATCTTTTTTGGGTAATGATTCTAATTGGCCAACCAGTTGAGCCTTGTGCCGGTCGCGCGCCAGGATCCACCAGCTGCACTGCCGCACTTCGGCCAGAATCACTGGATAGTGGAGAGTGGGATCTTGCGGGTGTAGTGGATGGATAAGGAACCACTCGCGCTTGTGAAGTTGATGAGAAAATGAGTGGGTGAGAGTGAGGAGCCAGGAAGAAAGGTTGCGCCATTCGCTCAGTTGGTCACGTAGAGTGAACGACTGCAGAAGATGACATGGCAGCAACATAGCTACGAGATTCGTTTTGTTATGCCAAAAATCTGATGCCAGCTTTTTATCTGTTTCGTATCCTTTTGAGGTAAGGTACTCCTCTGGCTCAACTCCTAACAGCTAGTCTCTAAATTCTGAGATGCACTCTTGACGATTAGACGGCTAACTCATGATATTTTTGTTTAATAGATTCAAAATATTCTTCTTCTCTCTGAAAAGGAATCAGGATGTGTTCTTATGAGAGCTCTCATCGCGTATTGCAGGTTTTATCTAAGTTGCAATCAAAATTATTCAATTGTCACTAACATACTCAGGAACTTCAGAGTAAGTTGATGAATTGACCAAAATTTTCAACAATGACACACATTGGTTACGATGTTACTTTAGCTTGTAGATGATCCATCGGCCAGCCACATGAGAATGGTATTGCCCAGTGGATACAACTTCATATGTTCAGACCTGATGCTATCAACAAAAGGTTCATCCAATATGTTCCCCAATTGGATATGTATTGGAGGTGGTTGTGTAATTGTTTGGTGTTGATGCAAAAAAGTAGGACTATGTATTGACTTACGGTTCCAAAGCTTCAGAATGAAAAAAGATTATTCGGTTGCTTGATAGCTATCCTTAACCCGTGAACACTACACATAAATTACCTTTGTGAGGTTGTCCTTAAGGTTGAGCAAAGACTGTCTTCGACTGCCTATTGGCAAAAAGAAAAAACCCAATCCAGAGCAGCATATCTTAGGACTTCAGACAACCTCCTACTCTTTATACTGGCATATATCGAATTGTCTTTTATGTTTGCATTGGTGTTGATGACAAAATAGTGCGGTTTCTTACCTGTTCAGTCAACTCTTAATCACGATGTCACTTGTGCCAAGGATTGACTTCTGTTGGACTGCTTACACGAGAATCTTGTCTAAATAGTGATTGATCTCTGAGTGCCTCACTCTTATTGCTCTGTTCCACACTTCACTTTGATGAGTTGATCCAGACTGTGAGTAGAGCGAATGCCAGTGATGGTTGATTCAGACTGGTGGATGCAGTTTTGAACTGCTCCAAGTTCTACGATACAAAAGCCGGAAGAAGTTCTTGAGCTGCATGGTGCTCACTCGTGGGTACTAGGCTTGGTTCTTAATGTCTCTTTGAATCTCTTGATTTGTGGTATTATCCTTAATGGCTTTAATTTCACCATTCTATTCTCCCTAGGCTGGAGTGAGTGAAACCCGTCTTGATCTTACGCTGGCCACTCACTCACCATCACCAATCGGCTTCTGCTGGCCTCATTGCCAACACATATGGAAGCTACCAGGGAAATGGTCAGTGTTCTCTTTGTAACAAGAGAAAGCTTGCTTGAAGTCTTCAGTGTCAGTTCTATGACTTCTATCCCGGCAGACAATAGTGCGCCATTTGTTGGGACACGGGTACAGACAGAAAAAGGGGCGGGCGAACAGCAAAGATAAACAAGAGGCCTAACGGTGGCTCAAATGCAGAGGGAGGGGTGGCAGACAATAGTGCCTGGGGCTATGAGTGGAGGACGGAGGCTGCGGGCGGGTGGGGGAGTCCGACAAAGGAATGTCGCACGCTGGAGGCACCATTTTCAGCAAGGAAAGAAGCCAGGGTGCTGTTTCCTGCGGTCTGTTTTTTTTCGAACAGGGTAAACAAACAGCAATGGAGTTTTTACTTGTCTTTCTTAGTCCTTTGTTTGTTACTTATTGGGCTTGGACTAGTAGCTGGTTAGTTTGGTGCTTGCTGGACTAGACTAATTAATTAGTTGCTGTCGAAAACATGCAAGCGGGGAAAAGGAGAGGCATTCCATATTCCTGTTAGATGCAGTATTGCTAGTACAGCTGATGCCAATAATATCTTATTTAGTTATGTACTCTCTCCGTCCGAAAATACTTGTCATCAAAATGGATAAAAAGAGATGTATCTTCAACCTCGTTGGAAGCAAATGAACAGGTTGGTACAGGCCTGAACAGCAATGCAGTTTCTACTGTCCCTTATTGACTTCTTCGTCATTCTACTCATACCATGGCTGCAGTGAACCAAACGCACCTTCAGGTTACACTGGCAACTCCTAGATCCAAGATCACGGCGATGAGAATCCATCCAGGCCAATCTTTTTTATCTTCACACATTTGGTATGTGCTTGCTTATAGTCCTGCCGCTAGCTTTTAGAGCACGAGCACCATCGAAACAGGTCTGATGGGATGGAAGATGAAGAAGAGGGCAGCGACTACCACCACACCCTGGGAGGCGGCGATCGGAAGTTGCTAAGGGTGGATAGGGTGACAGTGGCTGCGAAAGAGGAGGCGAGCCCACCACAGCTGCAGGTGGAGGATGAAGGCGAGCCCACCACAGTCATGTGAAACAACCATTTACTGGGGGTGTGGCATGTGTTTTGCTTTTTATTTCTATGGGCGTGACAAACAAACAAACAACGAGGGAGAGTCTGTATTTCTGTCTCTTATTCCTCTGTTTTTTTAGAGGCTCTGTTGTTCCTCTGTTTCTTCCAAGGCAGAAACAGTGGAAGGACAAAATTGGCCTAGTTTGGCAGCAAAGTTTTTAGAAAACTGCTGTAATTGAAAACCAAAGTATTCTCATCAATGGGCAAGTAATACCGCAGTTTCTAAAAACCAACGCATTTCTCAGTTTTTACATGTGTTTGGCTGGTGCTGTTTTGTCAAAGTTTTGACCAGGTATTTAGCATGCATGACTGAGTATTTAGCTGCTGCTAACGGTGGCTGGCTGCATGCAGCGGCCATGCATGCACACGTCCGCCCGACCTAGATGCTAGGATCTATAGAAAATGTCTATCTCTGCTGCATCTACATGCATGTCACCTAACCTAGAATATGTCTATCCTAGAATCACGTATGGCCTTTGCTTGGGCCACTAGCGTTGAAGACTTGAACTAATCCACCTATATATACCCCTCTTCAAACGAACACACAATCGCAAAATATTCTAGTCTTCACACAACAAGTTTCTCCTGATTTACAAATGTGATCTACAGCAAGTTAGCAGGTATGTTCTATTATCAATCATTTTTTTCGGGGGTTGGGGGATCTAGGAAAGTGTATACCTGGGATGTAATATGCATATTTGTGTAGGTGTGTTATATTGTCAATCAGAATGTTGGGTAATTTTTTGATGCGCAAACGTTGAGAAGATGATGAATTAGCTATCATCGAAGCTTTGTATGCTAATGATAGAAGCTCGGCCAACCACACACGTATACATACATCCATCCTTACGGGAGATCGGTACGTGTGAGAAGATCTATTAGGTCATGAATTGAGATGCAAACGAGATTTTTGGATGGAGCAGTATATTTTTCGTAACTTAGTCCAGTGCCTTCGAGAAAGATGCCATCTAAGAGATACAAATGTTGTCTCAGTGGAAGAACAAGTAGGCATATTTTTATATGCCGTTTCAAAGAATGCAACCAATCGTACACTCCAAGGGCAATTTCAGCATAGTGGTGAGACCATAATTCGCTATTTCCATATTGTGTTGAACGCCCTCATGATATTGTCAGGAAGTGTAATACAGTTGCCTCCAATTAATGTTCCTCTCAAAGTTACAAGCAATACGAAATTTATGCCATATTTCAAGGTATTATTCACCTTTTAACCCTTCAGTGCTATAACCATATATAAATACTACAAAGTTTTCATTGTATGTATTTTTTTTGCGGGGTCATTGTATGTATTTTTTTTTTGTAGGATTGTATTGGAGCAATAGATGGAACACATATTCCAATTAGCATATCTTCAAATGACCAAGATCCATATCGTAACAGAAAGGGAACACTGTCACAAAATGTTATGGTTGCATGTGATTTTGATAATCGTTTCGTCCATGTCAGCAGCGGATGGGAAGGTTCCGCTTCTGACGCTCGTGTTCTACAAGATGCTCTTGAAAATAACTTCTATGTCCCCGAACGAAAGTTTTATTTGGTGGATGCTGGTTATGCGAATACGCCTAATTTTATTGCACCTTATCGCAATGTAAGGTACCATTTGGTGGAGCAGGCTAAATGCAATAAGCGGCCGCAGAATCCTCGAGAACTATTCAACCTGAGGCATGCACAACTTCGTAATCATGTTGAGCGTATAATTGGAGTTCTGAAGAAGCGTAATTGTTAGTTGAAGATTGGCATATAATCATAGCAAGACAATATGATGCGTCGCCAAGTAAAAGATGGTGTACCTACTCAACATGACTACAGTTAGATGCTGAGCTAACTAGACAAGTGCAAGAAATAGATCGATCAGCCGGCGTTCAATAGCAAGATTAATTTAACCAGGACGTACATCATAGTTCATTAATCAACTAGATTAAAGCAATGCAATCTTTGGAGTGTTGCCATCATATTTTTTTTCTATATGTGCGTGTACTTTCA